TTTTATCTAGCTAATTTTCAAATCATCTAAGCACAACCCTGGGAAAGAGTGACATTTTCGTGTATGGCTCGCGCGCGATCCCGTTGACAGAGAAAAGAGAGTAACACTTGGATTTGACACGACGAAAAAAAGAGAGCTGGGAGAATGGATTCGATACGTGACCTGAAGCGATTGCTGTACGAGCGAACGGAGGCCTTGCGACGTCGCGACGAGACCGTCGAGATGCTCGAGAAAGTGCTCGAGGAGCGCGACGCCACGATCCGTTACTTGCAAAACGAGATCGATAAGTTTCGACAGATTGTCGATGTGAGCCTGATGGCGTCCAACGCCATCGATTCTAATCCGAGACTGAAACGCCAGGCCATTTCGGCGGAACCCCTCAGGAATGACACGGCGAAGCCGGTGGTGAAGTTCACCAAGCCGAAAAGGTAGATCCTGCTGAAGGATACATGTGTCAGATCTGTCGATTTATTTGCAGATTTTCTACGTCTGTTTGGTAATCAGGTATATGAAAAGGACTAATGAGAGCCAGGCGCAGATATTAGGCAAAATTGTTTTTACATTTTTCTCGAATTATTTTGAACGTGTCGGTCCTTTCTTTGGGTCATCCTGATATCGATTAATAAAATACAATTTATTATTTAATTAATATATTCACCGGAAAATATTTATATATTATATTTATATTATTTATATTATACACGGGGAATTTTCTCTTAGAAATTATTCTGAAAATCATGATAATCATAGAACTATATGGAACTGGAAGAATTTTATAAAAGTTTCTCTAATAATATTTATCACGATAAAAATATTAATATCTATCACAATAAGATATAAAATATGTTCGATTAATTTGATTATGTACATAGTAAAATTTACTTTGTACATATTAATATTTTTTATTGTGGTAAATATAAATTGGAGAAACTCAAAATTCTTCCAATATCATATTGTCCCATGATTACTACGATTTTCAGGATAAATTTTCGAAAAGAAAATTTTCTCCGTGTGTTTATATTATTTGTATTTATATTTATATCATATTTATCGAAGTACAAATGTAACTGAGATATAATTTTTGTACATAAAATATAATATAATTATGCTGAATAAATTTATATGCAGAAAATAGATTTTGCTCTCAAAACGGTTCTTGTTATTTTTATTACAAATAGATGATTATTACATGTGAATTGATACGATTGAAACATATACTTAATCAATGCTATGCTTAATCAATTATTAATGACAACATAAATTCAATTAAAATATTTTACTCTGAAATTAATGATAATTACGCACGAATGACTTTACAATTATAAACGTAACTTATCGAAGTATTTAGAGAATTTTTTAGCACATATTTGTGCTCTCTCTATAATACAGATTCACTCTTTTAGATCGAGATTATACATATAATTATTTTAATATTAATCTCTACTCTATTATTCTCTATTATTATTACATAATTATTTTAATATGTATATTAATTATTATATTCTATTATATTATTACAATTCTATAAGATCTTTTTTTTTGAAGATAAGATTTAAAAAGTTCAGATTTATTTGAGATCTGCAGTTTAAAAAAAATGCATTATTTTTTAATATTATTCTACTACCATATTATCATAATTCCATAACATCTTTCTATTTGAAGAATTTCTTTGTTAAGAAAGCTGCAGCTAAAAGATTTTTGCAAGTTATTCATACATGTAATTATATAAAGAAAACGCATGATACAATATTTATCAAATCTGACGCGCCTTTTACTTTCTTTATATATACTTGTAGATAAGATTTCTATCGCGTTCGCGTTATATTTTACAGTTGATGAATATCGTATCATGTTTTTATAATTACATCTACGAATATAATTTGCAATCGACTATAAAGAAAAATATTATTTATTTTCTCATTTTCTCGTAAGAATATTACTTCGTTTGATGCAAAGAAGAGAAACTTAATGGCGAATCTGCTTCTGTTTCTAGGTCTCGCGAACTAATCAAGACTGCCATTCTGGACAACGACTTCATGAAAAATTTAGAACTCACACAAATCCGAGAGATCGTCGATTGTATGTATCCTGTTACGTTTCCGGCTGGTTCAATAATTATACAGGAGGGCGATGTCGGCTCTATTGTATTTGTTATGGAGGGTAAGTGAATACAATCATATATACATCTTCATGAAATAGGATAGTTTCAGCGAAATAATATTCTGATATATGTGTATCTATTGTGTGCAATAATAATGCGCGAAAATATTAATAAATAATAATATTATATAATAAACGTTAACTTTTTTGACATAAAATTTTATTTTATTTTATTTAGTAAATAAATATTAAATAAATATTAATAAATTATTGTATGTATGTTTAAAAAATGAATTACTTCATAAAATTTAATTAATTTATTAATAAAATGAGACACAGTGATATATATCTCCATAAAGAAAGTAAAAGATATACATATATTGGGATACCTATATCTTTAAAAAAATTCGGCACATTTTATTATGTGTTGACAACCTCAGTTGTCTGGTAGATGATGTTAAGGATGAAAAATATAATAATATATTAATTGCTATTTTAAAATCAATGTTTCTCGCACTATATTTGCTCATCTGGAGCTGCGCGAATAAATTCGCGTTCCCAACTTTTAAAAAAATATAAATAACGTTATTAGTTGGATTTTTCGAGATATATCTCTTACATTACAGGGTGTCTCTAAATTTAGTACAAAACTGATATAGGTTTTAGAACACGAACAAGTCGAAAATGTCTAATAAACATATATGCCTGAATTCAAACAATTTCGAAGTTGCATAGGATATTAAAGTTGATTTCGTAAGAAAATATAAATTGAAATATGTTGTAAAGCAATTAAAAATGAGACGATTAATTTGCGCCCAAATCAACCGTGTACACTCATCACTACTTCAAGTTTACGTCACATTTTTTAAAAAGTGTTTATTGTAATCAAAAATTTATCTCTATCAGGAAGATTAACTTAAGAGCTTCGCATTTTTTGTTTGAATAATCTTTTCGTGTCTAGATAAAAATAATCGCGTTTTGTAGGATTTCTCTGCTGCAAAACTATTTATTTCTGCATACATAGAAAAAAATTGCAAACTAGTTTTATGTATAATAATGAGAGTCCAGTTGCAAAATAAGGAACTTTGCTATTTTAATTGCACAACGCTCGTTTTAATTATAAAATTGAAATTAATTTTGCCGGAAGTCGAATTCCGAAAGAAGAAAAATTTATATCGGAATAATCGGGTTTATTTATTAGTGCAACATTCATTAATCTTTGTTGATAGTTATCCGATCCGTGGGATATTAGCGCAAAGTCGGATTTATGTAAACACGATTATACGAACTCCGACATATAATTCTCTTTCACCCGGAATTCGATTTCCGCCGAACAAAGCACCGATGCGATTTCGTAATAACTGACGTGCCGTGTCTTACTTTCACAACAAAAATACGTGTTGTCCGTCGATTTTCTCCCTTTTTTCTCAATTCATCCGATTATTAGTGTTATCACTCATCCGTGTCGGTTGCAGTCACGTAATCACGTTTCGTACACCCTATATACATACACAATACATATAAAACGATCCATATTATTCAGCATAATATTATTTACAGTTTATACGAATAAAATATCTTTAATAAGGTATATCTTTTGGTATGCGCTTCTATTATCCCAGGTAGGAATTTTGTCTGGAAATAATCAGGGCTCCATATATTCTTTTAAAAATATTTCTGGATTTCAGGTGAAAAATCTAACGAGAACCTGTGAAAAGTTTGCCCAGCATTTGTAGAAAAATTATTTGTAGTCTAACTAGGACCTATAATTTTTTTAAATATTTGCTTGATTTGTATTATAATTATTTCTATAATCTAGATTATTCAATCCGGCTCCATATACATATAAGTGATGTATTTTGGATTTAGATAGATACTTCAAACTGGATCTTTTTACCTAGGCTCTGTATTTAATCTCGGCAAATCGAGGCAGATTTCTACCTGGAATTACATCAAAATTTTAAATGAATGTATTTTGTTTTATTAATTTAAATTAACATATTTAAATATTTATAATAAAAATTTATATATTTTAATTTATATATTATTATATATTTTATTATTTAAATGTATATATTTATTTTTACGACACAATTTTAAAGATTGAAATTAAGATTTATAAACATTGACAAATGGATGCATTAATATTTTTTCGTTTACACACACACACACACACACACACACACACACACATATATACAAAAATAAATATTATTTTTACATATCTGTCAAAAATTGTTCAAGGAATATAAATTCGTATACATTTAAATATCTAGAATTAAAATTTATATGACAGAATTCATTTATATGACAGAATCAAAAGTATAAAAATAAAGTGATAAATTAATAGTCCTTCGTTCGTGCACACTTAAGTAAATATAAAAAACAAAAATGTTAAAAAATTATTTCAATTTTATGTACAGTTAATACAATAGAAATTTTCTCTCTTCTTTTTCTTAGATTATTTTTTTCATATTTTTCTATATTTATATATAAAAAGTATTATATTCATCCGCAATGATTCATCTGTACTTAATAACCGTAACAAATGTTTGTTATAAATTTTACGAAATAGAAAGTTTCGAAAGTGTTGCAAAAATTAAACCCGAAAATTCAAAGAAATACTGCTTTAATAAATAGCTTGCATTAAAAAAGCTATAAAATCCATCAGCCTCTCCAATTATTCTAAATTTATAATAATGACAAAAACTCCTCGAAAAAATGGCAAAAATGCGTAAAATCAGTCTGCTGCCGAATTAACACGCAATTAATAAAATTACCATAGGATCCTCCTCTAATATCTCGCACTCCCGGATCTTCGCGATCATAAAAAAGATCGCGGCGCGCTTTTATTAGATCGTGGGAGCGAGTGCGGGGGCGAAATGAGAACCACTGTCCTTTCTCTCCTGACTGGTGGTGGGAGCCTCCTGCGAAGGAGGGGGTCTCTTTCTTTTTCTCTCTATCTCACACGAGCATGCTTTTCACCAGTCGCGAATACTGTCAGTGAGCGTCAGACGACGCCGCGCGAACGTTATCACGGTGTCCTCCTTCGACAGGATACCGTACAGCTCGTCGGTTCCTTTAAAAAGGACCGCCACGTGTGCGACAGATTTATTTTGATTTATTTACTCATTTTTCTTCGCGCGAAAGTGATATGAACGTGTTCGGCCGAGGGCAGCGTCCCGTCGACCTCAGAACCCCGGGATATTTTGACAGCTGTCAAACGGAGAATGGCCACCGAGCGCGAAAACGGTACCAAGTGCGTCCTGGCCGAGAATCTTCGAGGAAAGACCGACGATGGCCGGAGATGATCCGGTATTTCCCGCCGGATGCTGTCGCGAAACGGATGTTGCGAATGAGCGACGTGCGGTGCTCGTCGAATTTATTTCCTAGTTCCCAACGGAGGAGTCGCTCGGAGCGGTCGGCTCTCGAAGACAGGATTTTTTTCCTCGGCGATATCATCTAGAAGAGACTCTCCTGGATGCTCCCTTCTGCTCTTCGAGCGAAAAAAAAAACTTAAATCGCCAAAGGAACTGTCAAGAATGCGCCCACCTGTTGCGCCTACCTGCTGCGCCCACCTGTTGCGCGTCTAAGAGACATTACTAAACGGAAAAAAAGGAGGAAAAATCACGTTAAATTCCGAGCGATGATCGGCCTGTGACCTTTGCGCGCGTCCAGGAGTCCGAGAAAAACCAGCGGCGAAAGTCTACCACTTCTATATAACTTCTTGGAGACCTTTCAACTGATTAATAAGGCTCCGGGTCATGAAGGTCCGGAGTTATCCGGGCCGGGCGGTCCTGGAGGACCCGGAACTCCTGCTGGACCCGGATGCGACCCGGGGTCGCGCCATGGAGCTGCTCTACGAGGCCAGCTGGCGCGAATGCGGGGTCAACTGGGCCAGCAATGGCGCCGGCAAGGCTTCCGCCGGGCATCGGCAGCAGGAGGACGAGCGCTTCGACCTGGGCTCTTCGCAGCTCGAGGAGTCGTCCCCGAGAGTCGGCGACGACGACGCGCGCTCCAGGGGATCCAGCAGCACCGACACGATTGACAGCGAGTGCTCCGAGATGAATCAGCCGCCGCGGTCCTCGTCGGGCAACGCTCAGGCCGGCTTTCTCATCCCGAGACCGAGGCTGATAGTCCCGGTCCACACCTACGCGAGGAGAAGACGCACCGGCGCGCCTCAGCCCGCGAAGAGGCGGCAAAGATGCGAAGGTATTTGCTTTGCGGCGCGGAAACCCGCGGTTTTTATACCCGACAGGGTGAAAGATCGTATTATCGACGTGTTGAGGCGTTTTATTTTTTTTAACGCGGATAATAAAATTTTATATTTAACATTTTTTTTATTTTAAATATATTTTATTATATATTGTATAAATATATGGTATAAATAAAAAAAATTATAAGATTTATACATATAAAGTACAAAAATTTATATGAAACTTACACGTAAATTAATATTAATTAATTAATAAAATTTATGTAAATTAAAATTACATAATGAGTATAAAAATGAAAAATATTAATGAATATATGAAACAATATAATATATAAAACAATAATTATTTTATTACTTACTACAACTCAACGAAAGTAAACGGGTTATGTATCAACTAGCTTATCAAATGTCAATGTTACGTTCACACTTTACGTTTGGCAATACTATATATAATACTGTAATATATAATTCTTTGTTGATAATAATTAGAAAAAATTAAAATATCATTGGCATTAATAATTTTATGCTTAATTTTAACGCTATATTATTAAGGATACATTTTATTATTAGTGAAATCTACAGTTTAAATTTCGCCTTTAATCGATCATTTTTGTAGATATCTTTTACCTACTTTCTGTGAGTAAAAATGGACTTGACCCGGAAACAAGGCATCTTTTTCAAACTTGTTTGAAAGTTGACAAGTCTTTTTTTTTAAATTACTATTTGATTTTAATTTTTATTTATTCATTTACTTTAACAATAATTACATATGATAACAATTTTATTGGAATTTGTGAAAATATAACATATAATTTTCATATTTTATAAAGATTAATTTTAATTTTGATTAACACTAATGTGAACGCTATCAGTGAGATATAGTCTTTCGCCCTATTTCTCGAGAATAAATAAACGTCAGCACAGAATGTACTTCGTATATAAAGTGATTATGAAATCGCATGCATACTTTATGCAAATCTCGACTAACAAATAAAATTTGTTCTTCTTGACTTCACATTTGCATGAAAATCATCTTTCTTCAAGATCTTTAAATATTTTTAAATATTTTAATATTTCGATGTTTTTCTCTAATTTTTAATTTTTTAATTTATTTTTATTTTTATATAATTAAAAATTTCATTTTTAAATTTAAATTTAATTTTTAATTTAAAAATTAAAAAATACAAGATTTTGTTATCTGTTCAAAAGAACATGTATTATAATTTTCTTTTTAAATAATTTTCCTTATTGCCGCACAGAAAATTTATTAACGTAGATATTGGATGTTTCATATAATATATATTTAATTATATGTTTTCTATTATTTATTTTATTTATTTATATACAATAAAATTATACATATATAATTTTCCATGTTTTATATGTATAATGCACGAGGCACATAAAACTAAATAAAAATCGAGTTTTATTGCAAATTATACGTCGTCTAAAAATATTAAATAACATTTTAAATAACATTAGACTGATCAGACGGTAAATATAGCAGAAGTGCATTTCTCGAAAGAAGTCATGCACTTCAACAAAAGAAGAGAAAGTACGCTGACTTCCGAGACACTCTGTACATGGTTGCCGGACGTGGTTATGTCTCACAATTAAATATGTATACGAGAAAAGATACTCGTTTATATAATTGCTCCGACATATACGGAGAAGGAACGTAACGTGAGGCGAATCACACGTACACAAATACATATATGTATGTTATACCAGGGTTGAGTGAGTTAATGATTTTTTAAAAGTAAGTTAAGTTAAAGTTAGTTGCTATAAAATCAATTTAGTTAAGTTAAAAGTTGCGTGAAAAAAATTAACTAAAGTTAAATAAAAAGTTAACTTTTAAAAGCATATTAAATTAGAATTTTGTTTGTTAATTCTTAAAAATTTTTTATAATTACAAATAGCAAAGAAATTTTGATTTTTATTATATACTTTAATTTAAAAATAATACGTATTATAACTTATAAAAAAACAATAATTGTATTCAGAGATAAAAAAAATTTAACTTGAGAAAAAAGTTAACAAGTCAAAAGTAACTAGTTGAAGTTAAAAATGGATACATTTTAAATTAACTAAACTAAGTTAAAAGTTATGAATCTTTTAACTTTTTTTAACTTTTAACTAATTAATTAGTTCTTACTGAACCTTGGTATATATATATGTATATATATATAGTATGTACATCTACAATTTTCTTCAACGCGCACTTGGAAAGAACAAAGGTTTCGGGTATATACCGATGTCAAGCTGACCTCGATGTAATATTTTTCAGAGCACGAAACCGGATTATTCTCGCGAAATGGATTCTTCGTTTGCTTGAGAAAAGCGATTTTATCGTTCGCTTTGTACACGCAATCGTGTGCTCGCTTTTTGCTACATATGACACGTTTCGGTGTTATACAATATGGACATACCTGAAGAGACTTTTTACACCATTTACACAATTATAATTTATCTCGTGTTACTCGCACCGTGAAATCGCTCAACGAAAATCAATAATACATGACACGAATAAAATATTTCCTGATGTTCTTTTAAAATATGATTATTTTTAATCGTTTATCACTCACTGAAAAAAATGGTTACTTGACTAAATCTTTCAAATTATTATTTTGTTAATTAGACATACATATTGTACATATAGTATTTAAATCAAATATACGTTTTGTGTGTGTTAATATGTTATATTTAATTTACATATTTTTATATGTTTAATTAACAAAATAATATTTAGTTGAAATGTTTAATCAAGTTAATAATTTTTAGTGTCATTTATAAAATGATAATCGAGGTCTAATCTCTTTTTCTCTATTTAGAGACACTATATTAAGTATTTTATTTTTTATAGATTTTGCAATATGGGTAATATTTTAAACCAGACGAGAATTTTCTCTTAAACACATTTTGAATTTAAACGTACGACAGATACTTTCGAAACTTTCTATATATAATTTCATATTCATGTAAAACCTATCAAGCATTTCATACAATATCAATTATCGACATAGTCCGAAATAAATCACGTTATAACTTTTACCAATTTTCTCTATAAAGCAAGCCTTGCTGCATTTATATGTATTATATATGCTTGGCGTGTTTATAAATCCATTTATGGAATCATGTGTCATAATCAAAATCGTATTTTAACGTCTATAAAAAATAATGAAAGGCAAAGTTAATCATTGCCATTTCATTAAGTTTATTTTCTGAAATCTATGAATTTAAATAGACTGAGATGCTAAAATTTATTAACATATTCAACTCTAATTAATTTTAAAAATATTATATAGTGAAAGAGTTGTATAGATTAGCTATGCAGATTATTTAATAATTTCGTTAAACATGTTGAATTGTTCGGATAAAAAATTGAGAATCTGTCATATTTTCCATTTTAATGATTTTCCTACTTTATGGAATATTTTAAGAAATCACTCCCGCTTGCTAAGTTGGATTCTTATCAACGTTAATGCCGCTTTGAAGTAGATAAAGGCAAAAAAAGTGTATACAGACTTTATTACTTTATTTAATGTAACACTTCATGAAACGTACGTTTCTAACATTATAGATAAACGCGTTCATTAAAGTGTGGAAAAATTTCTTAACATAGAAAACAATCATTTTCCCGCTCTTTCAAAAAACAACAAGAATTTTAATTATTATTCCAATATAATAGCACAATAAATAGGAAATGAAAAAATTAGCAACAAAAAAGCAATAAATAAATCTTTGTTTGATTGTGTTTGAGCTGATCGATTTAACAGGCAAATATTAAATAAGATTATCAAATTGAAGAGAATATTTTCCTAATAATTCTAATTTAATATTTTCAAAATAATGAAATTAGCCATTTGTTTTTAAAAATATTTGAAATGTTATTTTGCTACAAAATAGTGGATATAATTAAAAATTATATTAATATATAAATATAGTAATAAAAAATATTAATAATAGTGTTTAATTTAAAAAGCAAAATACATTTCTCTAATACGCTGTACAAAAATGTTTTTTTCCGCTGTGCTATTTGTCCCTCACTTTCTTTCTTTAAGAAGGAAAGGATCCAGATGTGCACCAAAATATTCAACAAATCGGAGGGCATCTGGTTTTGAGGGCCGCCCAGAGTTAAAAATGTCAACAGCTGCCGCGACGAAATTTGCTTCTTGTCTTGAATCCAAATAATCAAATTAATCACACCTTCTTCTCTTTTTCATCCATTTATTTATTCGTGCACACGCAATAATTTCTTCATTAATTTCTTAATTATACCGGTCCAGGACGAGATAGAAACAGTCGATCTGGACGAACAAGATTCACTCTTTAGTGTTCACATAATAATAATAATGATTACAGGTGGAAATGATATAGGTATAAAAACTTGTGGAGAGGCGAGATAAAAATCATTTATATACCGGACGTACATATATAATTGCGACTGTCGCGTATTTCTTACGGATAACTCCAATTAAAAATTAAAATTATATTTTATACTCACACACAGAAGATTATTATTACGGTGTTATGCACGCGAAATCGCAATCTTGGCGTTCTTCGAGTGACACAATCCTTTAATTGCTATGTTAGATCGCGCAAATACGATGATTTATTTTTGTCAGAGCATTCTTGTGTATGATGCACAAGTGCTGCCAGCAATACCCAACCGCGATCGTCATTAATTAAAATTATAATTGTCGGTAGACTGCAGTGAAGTGTATCTCTTTGTCGCGTGGGCCCTAACCGCAGAAATAAATTGTCTTGTCCCCTTATCGAGTCCGCTTGACAGCGTCGAAGGATCGTAAAGAGCGAAAGAATCTTCTCAGTGATGTCTTTCCGAGGCAATAAAAAATTCATACCTATTACAATACGCCAATATATGTGTTAATTCGAGTATATTTGGCAAAAAAAAATTCCCTGAGAATTCCCTGATAAAAATGAAATTATAAGGAATATTAATTTAAATTTATTAATTATTTATTTATTTATTAAA